TTTATGTCACAGATGTCTTTCAAATGAAAATGATTTAAATTCAAAACCTTTTGATAGTCCTAATTTACAGAATAAAATTTAAGTTTATTTCATAGCACTCAAGACTTTAAATAATCTGTCTTCATTTTTGTTGTTGTTGAAGTCATATCATTGCCCTGAATACATATTATTCTTCAGCTATATTTGTTCTCTGCATGTATTTTGTTCCCTGCATGTATATTGTCTCCTGCATGTATACCTGATATTGCTGGATTTTTTTTTCTCTTTAAAATTTTCTCTTTCTGCAAATATTATTTATCTATTCTGTATAAATAACAGGTTATGTTAAAAGTACAAAGATAGGGGCTAGGATTGTGGCTCAGAGGTAGAGTGCTCTCCTACCGTGCATAACTAAAAAATAAATATTAAAAAATACAAAGATAGATAAATCTTGAGTAGTAGCATTTTAAAGTCTTTTCTTTACATTTCATTTGCTTTTATCTGTGACATCTCCCTAGAATTTCCCAGTATAGATTAAATGAGGAGCTGCATACATAGATACAAAGGAGCATACATAGATACAAAGCCTCCAAAGCTTTGTTAATACCTGAAAATACTCTAGTTTGTATCTATGTATGCAGCTCCTCATTGGGTCAGATTCATTAATGGCAGGGATTTTGTGTGCTTTTTAAACTTCATTAAGGTATGAGTCATATACAAAAAAATCAGTACATACTTAATTTCTACAACTTAAATTTGGAGATTAGTATGCCCTTGTAATACTGTCATCACAATCAGCTGAAATCAAGAAAATGTCTTAATCATCTTTGTATTCCTTTTTATTCCCTTCCCCTAGCTGGCACAGTGATTTTAAAATAATTGATGCTCACTAAATGAATACTGAATTTAAAAGGTGTTTTAAAGCCATAATGGAAATTGAGAAGGATCAAATGGTAGTTCCATTCCCAGCTTTCTGAGGAATCTCCATACTGCTTTCCAAATTGGCCGCACCAATTTGCATTCCCACCAGCAATGTACAAGTGTACCCTTTTCCCCACATCCTCCCCAGTACTTGTTGTTGTTTGACTTCACAATGGCTGCCATTCTTACTGGAGTGAGATGGTATCTTAGGGTGGTTTTAATTTGCATTTCTCTGACTGCTAGAGATGGTGAGCATTTTTTTCTGTACTTGATGATTGATTGTATGTCCTCCTCTGAGAAGTGTCTGTTCAGGTCCTTGGCCCATTTGTTGATTGGGCTATTTGTTTCCTTATTGTTTAATTTTTTGAGTTCTTTGTGTACTCTGGATATTAGGGCTCTATCTGAAGTGTGAGGAGTAAAAATTTGTTCCCATGATGTAGGCTCCCTATTTACCTCTCTTATTGTTTCTCTTGCTGAGAAAAAACTTTTTAGTTTGAGTAAGTCCCATTTGTTGATTCTTGTTTTTAACTCTTGTGCTGTGGGTGTCCTATTAAGGAATTTGGAGCCCGACCCCACAAATTATAGATTAGAGCCAACTTTTTCTTCTATCAGACACAGAGTCTCTGTTTTGATATTCCCCTTCTCGGACTATTCCCCCAAAGACCTTAAAAGAGCGTATTATAGGGATACAGCTACATCGATGTTCATAGCAGCACAATTCACAATAGCTAGACTGTGGAACCAACCTAGATGCCCTTCAATAGATGAATGGATAAAAAAAAAATGTGGCATTTATATACAATGGAGTATTACTCAGCACTAAAAAATGACAAATTCATGGCATTTGCAGGGAAATGGATGGCATTAGAGCAGATTATGCTAAGTGAAGCTAGCCAATCCCTAAAAAACAAATGCCAAATGTTTTCTTTGATATAAGGAGGGCAGCTAAGAACAGAGCAGGGAGGAAGAGTATGAGAAGAAGATTACCATTAAAAAGGGATGAGAGGTGGGAGGGAAAGGGAGAGAGAAGGGAAATTGCATGGAAATGGAAGGAGACCCTCATTGTTATACAAAATTACATATAAGAGGAAGTGAGAGGAAAGGGAAAAACAAACAAGAGAGAGAAATGAATTACAATAGATGGGGTAGAGAGAGAAGATGGGAGGGGAGGGGTGGGGAGGGGGGATAGTAGAGGATAGGAAGGGCAGCAGAATACAACAGACACTAGTATGGCAGTATGTAAAAATGTGGATGTGTAACAGATGTGATTCTGCAGTCTGTATATGGGGTAAAAATGGGAGTTCATAATCCACTTGAATCAAATGTATGAAATATGATATGTCAAGGGCTTTGTAATGTTTTGAACAACTAATAATAATAATAATAAAAAGAAATTGAGAAGGATAATCCAGACAATAGAAGAGAAATTAGGACAATTGCATTAACCAAAGCCAAGAAACATGTTTCAAGAATGAGAGAGGACAATAAGTGATGTCCTGTACACCTGAATTGTAAGAAGGGGTATAAACTGTGAGTAGGTCATTGGATTTAACAATTAAGAGTTTTGGTTATCTTAGCAAGAACAAATTCCATAAAGTAGCAAGTGTAGACATTAGATGGCAGTGGATTGAGAAATAAATAGAATTTTTCCCCTTACATATAAGTTTTTAGCTGATATTTTTATAGAAATTGGCTGGCAGACAAATTGAAGATATATGATCCAAATAAAGATCTAGAATCCTGAATATATTACATTAATTTAAAGAGGATCTGTAGCTCTTTAGTAGACAAATGGTAGGCTTGATACTCTTTTTAGAAAATTTATAAATCTAATCAGTATCTTCATCCCATTAAAAAAACCCTATAACTCTATTTATAGATCATAGGGCTTCCTTTGTCTAAGTTACTGATGTATGGCAGGAATTATTTAAACTTGGAAAATTTTCAGAATGATTTTATTGAGGATTTTTGCTTCTTTGTACTCCCTATTCTTGTTTGGATAGTAGTGATGCATTAATAATATGTAAACAAATTTTTTAAAATAACTGTAAGTAATTATGTAAATTGGGTTGAGTTTTAGCAATCATTTGATCATTTTTAAGGCACATTTAACATTTTTGTAATCAGAAAGTGGTATGTCATAGTTTTAATTGATATCATATTTTCTACTTTGGTATCATACAAAATGATGATACAATCTCAATCAATATAAACATCATAAATAAAATATGACAATGTAGTGAGGAGCATTCAAGTTGAGACTACCTGCCAGATACTTTAGTTTTAATATAATTAATATTGTTCCAGACTTATAAAAAACATTTTTGGCAATTGATGATATATTCTTTCTCTCCTTCTCTCTCTCTTTCCCTCTTTCTCTTGCTCCCATGGGCCATGGGTCAGGCACAAAGTTTATCTTAAAACTGTTATAGAACCAGCTTTGATGGTACATATCTGTAATCCCAGCTACTCATGAGGCTGATACAGAAGGATTTCAGATTCTAGGACAACCTGGGCAACTTAGCGAGACCCTGTCTCAAAATGAAAATGTAGGGGCTGGGGATGTGGCTCTGGGGCTGGGGATGTGGCTCAAGTGGTAGTGTGCTCGCCTAGCATGCGTGAGGCACTGGGTTTGATTCTTAGCACCATATAGAAACAAAGATATTTTGTTCACCTAAAATTAAAAAATAAATATTTTTTAAAAATGTAAAGTTTAAAGAAGTATTTGTCTAGAATATGCAGAAACCTCAGTTCAATTCCCTGTACCACCCAAAACAAACAAACAAACAAAAAACCATAATAGACTGGTCAGGTTTGGGTGTGAAAAGAGAAGAAGGACTCTGTAGGCAACCTATTTTTTGTTACTAGAGCTTATGATTTGCTGTCTATGGAACAAATCTTGGTTGATTACAATTCTTACCAATATCCTAGAAGAGGTAGGTGTCAGTGATAATAAGAAGGCATAATTTTTGATCTTGCAGGCTGGAGTACAATGACTTCTTCTTTACTTTTTTCCTTAATCACAGACATGTGTTGACAGGATACATGTATTGACACTATTTTGACAGAATACCTGGCAATATACTCAGCAATGTAAATAATCTTTCATTCTTTTTGGAATGTTTCTTAATACAGTAAAAGATTGATAGTCATAGTTCCTAAAGCCTTCTCCTTCTTCATACATATTTTTGAACTGAAAGATGAGATTTGTAGTTTCTTAAATGAAGAGCTGTCCTAGCCAGAGAGCACTGAGTGCTCGTTCACAGCACCCAGTAGACTGTCTCAAAATGGAAATTTAAAATAAGTTTAAAGGTTCAGGGGTATAGCTCTAGTGTAGAGTATTTGCCTAGCATATTCGTTGACTATTGAATGGTTTGTCTTTTAAATGGTTGACTAGGAAATGAATGGGCTTATAGTTTAAAGTAATCATGTGAGAAAAGGTTGGATGGTACTTAAAAACTATTGAAAACAAAAAGAATGTACATTGAGAACTTAATAAGAATAATGAAAGCTTCTCAATCCATTTTGGGTATTATTAAAATGAATTAAAACTTAGTGCCTTGAAGTTTCCCACCACAGAAAATATTGATTCAAACTTTGAAAGTTATTTCTAGAGATAAAATGAATCACCAGTTGTATAACATATCAAGTTCATATAAATCAGTTTTAGCAAATCAGCAGTTCTTTCTTTTAAATCAAATGTAAATAAACAAAAATACCACATTTATACTTGTGCTCATTTATTTCAATAATGTCCCAATACTTAGTCCTTAGAAGAGTGAAGCAACAGTATAGTGATGGGAAAATGCAATCTAGTGATACATACTTTTTCCTCTGGTAACGGAAGGTTAAATGGGTGGCAAGCAGAATGCCTTAAACAAGATTGGTATATTGATTAAAGCGCTGATTTAACAGCTCGCAGTTTCCCCCTTGGAAACCTGGAAAAGATAAGCCAGCTGCTGTCTAAGAGCGCTCAGTGTCCACTGAGAGTACACTATCTATCATCACAATATGGTGATGAGAGGTGTTTTATGTTTGTGTTAATTTCCCCCACTAAATCAGTAATTATTACAATCCTGTCCCTGCTGTTTACCCTGCAGCTGTTTTTCCATTTGTCGAGAGAGCGGGTGTTCTCTGAGGACCGCACACGTTTCTATGGTGCAGAAATTGTCTCTGCCTTGGACTATCTACATTCTGGAAAGATTGTGTACCGTGATCTCAAGGTAAAAATTAAAAAAAAAAAAAAAAGTAATCAAAATTTGTTTTTGCGAAGACTGTAGGGACAAAAAAGTAATTACAAAGTTACATCATTTTAGAAACACAGATTTAGTTTGAAAAAAAGCAATATTTAGAAATGTAGTTTACTACATTTGACAGGAAATTTTAGTCACAATTGTATATGATATTGCTTTATGTCTGAGTTTTTGGTGTGCAGAAAAATTTCTGTGTGACTACTCTAATCAACTATGATCTATTAATAATTTTCCTCTTAATGTTATAATTAGAGAAGTGTTAAAAACCTGAGTCAAATTCAAATAACTTTAGAAGTAACATTGTAATGTTTCATTATTTATTGATGAAGAAACTTTTATAATAAGAATATTAAAAGGAAAACATTCATTATGGTTTTAGTGTTAACTTTTTGGTGAGTTTAAGTACCTAAATGCTTTAAACTAACCTTTTATTAATTTGCTTAGTATTTTTATTTATAAAAGCTCAGTGGTTGCTTTGTTGGTAATAGAGCTTTGTTTTTTCAATATTCTTTTATAATAAGACCCTAAGAATAGCTCAACATGGGTAAACATTCTATAAAGGCCGGACAGTAAATTTTTTCTCCTTTCTGCTCATAAAATCTTTGTTCAGCTATTCAGCTTTGCCATTGTAGTATAAAAGCAGCACAAGACATTATGAAAATGAGTATGTTCAGCTGTGTTCCAATAAGACTTTATTTGCTGAAAGTGGTAGTGGTTAGATTTGGTCCACATATCATAGTTGACTGATCCCCAGAGTAGATTTTATAAGGTAATAATAATTCAAAATACTGTTATAAGTAAGGCTGGCTATATTAAGGAAATTTGTACCATGACATATTTTGTAAAAATTCTAAATGTTACTATCTTTTTAAAAAATATTTTTAGTTGTAGATAGACACAATACCTTGTTTTATTTGTTTATTTATTTTTATGTGGTGTTAAGGATCGAACTCAGTGCAAACTCTACCCCTCTACCACTGAGCTACAACCCTAGCCCTTACTATCTTTTTTAAAAAGTAAATCATGTAATGTGGGACTGAATTGCTTTGTTGAGCAAAGTCTAATTTATTTAAGATATGATTTGATTTATAGAAATAGAAGTTAGATGAGATTTTTTATGGAATTCTATATTGTATAAAACGAAGTATGTGTTTAAGAAATCACAGTTATCGCCTTACTCCCACCTCACTTTTTAAAAAAAAATACCTGTGATTGTTAAGTTATCTAATTATTTGAACTGTTGTCTAAGTTATTTAAAGATATTCTAGCATTTTCATTTATGTATGGTTGACCTTGGTGAGTAACTGCCTTGCAAAGTATTGTTTTTTAGAATGTATAATATCTAAATTTGTATAACTTATTACTTATTAAAATTTAAAAGAGGAAAAATGAAGTAGATAACTATAAAACATCTAATCAAGAATGATTATCTTAAGGGCCAAAATGAACGAGAGATGAGTCAATCATATAATTGCATTCAGTTTGTATCTTTCTTTATAACTAGGAATATGATATAATTCAACAACCTTACATTTATAGCTGAATGACCAAATGATTCTATAATCTTGTTTGAATGTCTTAAATATAGATGCTTTTAAATAAATTAGTTATATGGTATTACAAAATATATATTTATTTTCCAACTATATTTAGAAATAGCTCTAATTCCATTTCCTCCACTCCTACTTCATGTTTTATGAATCCTATTTGTAGGGAGGAAGATCAGGAGAGACCCAAATTTAGGTAAATAAGAATAGTTTTGAAATAATGGGTAACATATCCAAAATACTCGAAATCAGAAGAAAGAATCATTGACTTAAAGAAATCTAAAGAATCTTCATTTGATTGCTAGCATTAACTATGGAATGTTATAATTTGAACAGTCTTGATTAATATTTTCCATTAGTCATTTCTTTTTTTCCCACTAGTCATTTCTAATCAAATAAATCAATATATTGAGTTTGAAATTTATATTGAAATTCATTAAATATGTTTTTTACCCTATCCTTTGTGATGATGAAATTAGACTAAGTTTACTAAAACTATAACAAAAAGTACTTATTTTATATATGAATGTCCATCTTGTAGTTACCACATGTATAGACCCTGACTTTACTACACAATTAAGTGATTTCTGATATCTGAGTTTATTTATTTTTGCAGCACTGGGGATCAAACCTAGGGCATCATGCATGCTAACCAATCTCTCTACTACTGAGCTATATCACCAGCCCTAAGTTTATTTTTGTAAAATCTTGCCTTAACTTAAAGATATAAGTAAATGTATAGCATAGGATAGAAACTGTAGGAATATATAACCAAGAAAAATTCATACAATGTAAGAAACCAAACATTCAAAATTTATACAAGTGTGAATTGTATCCATAGTATGTAGTATTATGTGTACACAATATATGAGATCATTTAGATAGGCTCACAGAAATTTAGATCTAGTACATGTTTTACAGGTGATGTTCAAGTCTAGTGGTGAGTTATAAAAGTAATGGAATAAGGTGGTTGACACAGTCAAGATTATTAGAGCGCATGTGTGTTTTGTCAGCTTTTTGTTACTATTAGGAAGTACCTGAGATAATTAACTTATAATGAGATAGGGTTATTTTGGCTCACAGTTGGGAAAATTTCGGTCCAAGATTGATAGGACCCATTGCTTTGAGTGTGGGTACTATATGGCAGTGATGGGAAATGTGTGGTAGAGCACATCGCATTAGCTAGGAAGCAAAGAGAAGAAGAAAAAACAGACTATATTCCATTATCCACCTCAACAGAATGGCCTCAGTGACCAAAGGGTTTTCCTCTGGACTCCACCTCCTAAATGTTCTACCACTTACCAATAGCACCACCCTGGGGTTAGTCCATTAACACATGGGCATTTTGGAGATATTCAATATCCAAACTATCATATCATGAATCCTAATTCCTAATTTTTTTTGTAAAGCATTCTTTCTAATGTTGAAATGAAATCTGGATAGGGAAATGCATTGGATTAACTCTAGAAGATCTTTATAAAGCTAAAATTCAAATTAACCTGCCAAAGATAAACCAATGAATGTTTCAAATATATTTGTACTCGATGTATTAAAAACAGTGTTAACAAAAACTGATTTAGGTATTCAGTTTACTTAGTCTCAGATTTGTCTCTGGTTTTATTACTAATGAGGTGATGACTATTTAACTGCAAATTTATTTGAGATGCCTATGGTAGCTGCACTTTTCTAATCAATGCCTGTTTGCTACTTCCCAGTTTAGCATTGGAAGCAAAATTTTATTTCATGTTGCAGGTTAGCTTAAGATATTTTATTGGTTTCTATTTCCTAATAACCTGGTGTTGATAGCAACAGGTATATTATTGAAACCTTTGCCATTCTTTAGAAGGTAAGTTTGCTTAATTTATTAATACATGTCATGATATGAAATTGTGTTTTATCAAAGAGCTTATTAATAAATGTAGTTCCTGATGATTAGTTGGCAAAAACTGATGCTATTTCATTATAGCATAAAATTTTGAAGAAATCTCTTCCAATATCTCTTCAGTAGTGCAAATTATATATTAAATCTTCTTTTCTTCCTATATTTATTTTGCAAGTACAAACTTTATTTGTAGTAACCACTGCTATCCAAGTACAGATGAGACTAAACAGGGAAATGACTTTGGAATTCATTAAGAATTAATTTCTCCAACAGTTTATAAGGGTGGTGGTGGATAATTCATAAATGACTGGTATGTTTTATGTGTGGAACATCTAATCTTATTTTCTGTCTAATCAGAGAATATTTAACTATTTATGTCATTAATATGAGAAACCACCAAATAAGACTGAGATCATTTCTAAGACTTATTGATAACACAAGGGATGGTTTCAGAATCTTTTACCATGGCCCTCCTAATCTTTATCTCAAATAACACACAGTTGGAAAAACCATACTTCTTTTTATACATAAAGTCTTAAGTCACATTCCTCAATTCCCACTTCTAACCAGACTTGTCACACTGTATTTCTTCTTTTCTAGAATTTTTTGTGGTGCTGGGGATTGAACCCAGGGCCTTGTGCATGTGAAGCAAGCACTCTACCAACTGAGCTATATCCCCAACCTTTTTTTCTAAAATTTTTAATCCCCTGCTGTTGAGAACAGTTTTTACCTTTGAAGTCAAATTGTGCTATTATGGTATATCGCTTATTTGTAGCAAATTTCTTAAATAACTTAGCATTCCTTTTATGGAGTCAGGAGACCATCTCCACTATTATACATTATTAATCTTTTTCTAGATTAGGAGAGTCAAAAGTGAAGAAATGTTCTTTCATTATTTCAGCATACTCAATTCCATGGTCATTTAGTTCGTACAGATCAACTTGTGACATTTTGGCACTTGGATGCAATGTGCAAAATAGGAATTCCTTACTACCTTCATGGGCCTGAGGCTGTCTTGGTGCCTAAAACTGTTTGATATATCTCTGCTAAAGTCTGATATAAATTTAAGTGAGGAGAATTGTTTACTGGTAATTCTGTAACACGTGGTACCTGTAGGAACTATTTTTGTTCTTTTGTTTATTCACAGTGTCAGTCATTTAAATAAAATGATACCATGCATATTTTAAACTTTCTAATAGCCTGGCCTGTGCAAGAACACAGCTTCCCAGTCTGTGTGCCACATTACAGGTGTGTCCAAGGTTTCCTCAGCTAGGAACCTTGGCAGAGACACCTCTAGGCCATCAGTTCCAGCGTCCGACAGCCTGTCAGCTAATCTGAGTGTGCCCCACAAATTTTATTTTTTATTGTACTGTGAAATGTAAAAGATTGAGAAGCACTGATTCAAGGTAGCCAAGATTTTTAGAATTTAATTTGATTCTAGGAACCAAGAAAAGCAGGAAGAAACTTATTACTTTGTTGTAAATTTTTTTGTCTACAAAGAACAAAGGTTAAAAAAGATCTCAAAGTCTGTCATTTCTTCA